TTCCACGCAAACTGACACCTCAGCTGTTGGCTAGAGCACAGCGATCGTCACAAAAGCTGCGCATCCATGAAAAGCATTTGGCAGAGATTTCTTCAGAGTCCCTCAGATCCCAGCACCAAGGCTCACCACCCCCCATTTCACAATTTAGGGATGTTGCTGGTCCTGGTACAGAGCACTGCAAGTAGGTGCAATTAGCCACTGTCACCGAAAATATTTCTAACCCTTCAGACGCAGAAGGTGACTAAAGCTACCAAACCTGTTGTGATCAGGCCCCATTTCAGTGTATTTATATTCTTCCTGAATCTTCTCCTTTTGGAAAAACTGGTTCAGACGCGCCTTGGCATTCTCCAAGGTCCAATTCCCGTGAAGATCGGCACTTAAGTCCACTTCTGACTCCGAGGTCTAATGGTGAAAACCAAAAAAAGGTATCATTTACTGGTTTCTAATAGATCTCAGTTTTAAATATTCTTACAAATTGTTGAAATAACTTGTCTAGATGCTATAAAATAATTAACATGTTGCAGAAAATGCTAAAAGTTCCTCAGTATTTCCTTATTTTCACAACAAAATGCCTATACAAACAATTGGATATTTAGAGTATCCAGAGTGATTTATTTTGGTCTTCGCTTAAACAAGTTACCTTCGTCAAACGTCAGCAAGTAAATTTGCAGCTGAAGTTAAAACCAACAGCCAAATATCAAATGAAAACTGCAAGCTTGATTACAAATGCTAACAGCAAATGAGAGTGAAAGATGCCGATTTAATAACAGAAGTAACAGAGAATCACACAGAATGACTTACTGCCTGCGCTTCTTGCTCCTCTCTCTTCGAATAGTAATCCTTCAAATTTGCACCCCGATCCCACTGAGCTTCACGATCGCCACAGTTTCCAGGTGCTGCACCTTGGCCATTGCCTACCACATGGGAAAGAAAAAAAAACATAACACAAAACAACACAAAATAACTCCTCCAAGACACGTTCTTAGCAAAGGAGAGGCACTGCCTGGCGATCCCAACAGGACACAGCTGGTCTTTCAGATCTCATGCAGTTGTACACAGATCTTCCTCAAAACTATGAGAACTTCTCACTGTCTTCTGTCTGCAGAATTATGCTATTTGGGAGAAAAAAACCCACCCAAATCTACATGCATATATTACATCCACATACATGTAAATGACAGTGTTCACAGTCTTACCTATTTCGGCCTCTATTATCAAATGTGGAGGAAGAGGTCCACCCATAGTAGAACTGGAACCAGTAACATCTCTAGCTGCTTCACGTCCATCAGGGGTATCACCAGCTGCTGGCTAGGAGAGAGAATGAAGGGAATTATCAGTATTTTCGTACAGAATAAGTCTTTTTACTACTTAGCTAGAATGCTGTTCGGGCAGTTTAAAGAGCTCATGCATCATTATGCAATAGTTACGCTCAGTAGTAACCCTCAATAGTAACACCCTTTTAAAAATCTGAAAGGAGTATAACTGCTGAATATTTGGCTTTTTGTGGGTGTTCTATAAAAAGATTTCCACCCAACAAGTAGCCCTGACTTACTGAAGTTCAGCAATTATAAAATCAACTGTTTCAGCAGCCAGGGTAAAATAACAGGTACTGGTCCCTATCATATATCCATGGGAACTCAAATTGACTTCACGAACACACACAAAAAAAACCCCATTGCAAAAAAGCATTAATACCTTTAGGAAATGACACAGTTATGGTTAATCCTTACAATTCAAATTCTTCCCATTTTGAGATGCATACTTTTATATAACTGATCACACCACCTCTGCTTGATTCAAGACTCAGAACATGCTACCCCTTTCTAGCATCCAGCCATGCAATGCACTGCCATGAAACTAACCGGTACGTCAGAAACAATACAGGTCCTGTTACCACAGGGCTTCACCCAGGCTAACGAGGGAGGGACACTGCTTCCACTGACCAAACTATGTATCTTATACAGATACATCCTTAATGAGGCACTAGAAGAAGACTCTTCCAACATATAACATGTAGCTTCATGCTTTATTTAGTTATCTAAAATTGCTATAAAGATATTGTTACCCTCCTCCTCAACTTTTATGTGATAGTCATTGTTGAGACTTGCACGGTTCATAAAACACCGTAACAAGCGGTGATCCCGTTACACATGAGGATCTAAGGCACAAAGCACTTACGGTTTAAAAAAAGCCAAATTGTCAATATCTGCTTTGAGATGTGTTGGGGTTTTCTTTAAAGTACATAGTATTATATATCACAACATGCATTTAAAATAATTCCCAGCATCAGGCATGAGTATTTAACCCAGTATCGAGTATTCAAGTCAGGCTGCACCTTACAGGGACTCTGAAATCTCCCCGGCCGCATCAGCTATGCAGAGCAGCACACAGCTGTTTTCACCTGATCAGCCTACAACATTCACTGTGTACACTCCAGCTTCCCAGCACTGCAAGAAGTCGTCCTGTGGTTTCTATCTTCTTCACTGCACACGGGTGCCAGACTGAGCTCCAGGGATGAAATGCAACTGGATGCACAGCACTGCAATCAAAGACCAGCCCTCGGTAAGGAGAAAGAGCAGCTTACTCCAAAATCAGGAACTTCCTCCTTTTTCATTTCATTCACCCGAACCAAATAATTCACAAAGTCTCGAGCTGCGTTGCTCTGCGCATCTTTCTTGTTAGTGGAATTGCCCATGCCGATGTAGTTAAAGCCTTCCACTCGAACCTGCAAATAAAAATACAGATCTGTGGCACCTATAAGTGAAAGGCCTTGAAAACCAGTAATACTGAAACACCAAATGTCAGCTGCTAATAACTACAGGAGAAATATTACTACCAAGTATTGTTACATATCATTATACATATAAATATTTCTTCAGGTTTTGAATGTATACTTTAAACCTATTAAAGAAAACATCCACAGTCCACTCTCAGAGAGCACGGGTGTTGCCCAAAATCTTGCTGAAGAAAACGAATCTGTGTAGGAAGGGATAGCGCCAACACACAGCAGCAAGCTCTGCCCAGGTTCACGCTCCTCTGCCTTAGCCCCAAACCCTCAGACAACAAAGGACAGGAGCGCGCTTGTGTGTCCTCTACCGTAGCTCCACGTTACTACAGCTAGCAAGATGCAACGTAATTCATAAACTTAGAGCCAAGCTTTAGAATAGCAATATTATATCCTGCTAGCTTGCCTGACAGGCTGCTGCAAAATTCGGTCACAGGAAATTTATTCAAAATTCTGACTAACCAGACATTTTACAGCCGCTTTTCTGCAACCGCTGCCCTCATCTTAAAGTTACTTTCTTATTTTTTCACATTTACAGCCAGCAACTCCATTTCAGCTTCGCTTGGATAGACCACTTGCGCGTTTCTTATTCCCCCCCTTCACTCTGCTGAACACGTAAACAACTTTTTACTATAGCTAGTTGTTCTTATTAAAAACAAAGTCAGCAGCATTGCACGTAACATTTCAGCCAGCCCAAACCAGAGCTGCACACAATAACACTGCTAACACCAGACCCCTCTCCTTCGGTGCTCAGTCCCACCGGCAGCTAAAACACCCATTTTCCCACCAAACACCACAGTTCGTTAGCATTCTGCTTAGCAGGTTCCAAGAGACAAGCTTCCACTTTCAGCCCCGACTACCCGTCTAGCGGGACAGCGGCATCACCAACCAAACAGGAACCGTGCTGGGTTCACAGCCATCTGACCAGACGGTGAAAATCAGTAATCGAGAACATTTCGGTGGGATTCACCCGTCCATCTGTTACGTTTCGACGAGACACCAACACGGAGGAGAGAGCACGGCTCAGCAGCGTGACTGCCCATACAACCACCGCACCCGAGCAACGCTCCATCTCGGTCACGCCGCCTCTGAAACTGGTTTAAGACCACTGCGCTTCCCAGTATGGGTACCGGTGGGGAAGATGAAGGGGGGAGGAAGGCTATAGTGACAAACTGAAGGCGTTCGGTGCAAATCCGTGGCGCGGCTCCGGCCCGCTCCCAGAGCCGGCCTGGCCTGGCAG